ATATTCGAATAAAACTTTAGACAAACTTCAACACAGATGATTTGGAGGCATGGAACAGTGTAGACAATGTACTTGTAGAAGAGAACCCGCGTGTTGAAAATGAAGTAGCTATAGAAATTTCGGAAGAGGAGGAAGATGATACCGCTGCAGTTGTAGCTGTGCCACCAATAAAGCATACTGATACCAGCGACTGTTTTGAGAAGTGTATCAAATGGCCTGTAGAAAACAACATGGAACAGGAAAAAATATTTTTATTGAAAAGCCTACATCAAAAGACATAGGATCTCAAAATTTCTCGYCCAAAAAAGCAAATGAGCATAACGAATTTCTTTTCAGTTGAATAGTGCTCATATTTTTTTTTTATAAAATTCAACTTTTATTAATTTTATTGCATGCATTTTCCATTGTATATGTATTTATTTCAACCAATGCTTATGAATTCATGAATAAATAGTTATTTTTAAACATATATGTACCAATATTAATTAAGTTTTCGTTTCCGAAATAACGAATATTTCAGTTTAACAAACGGTCCCAACATTATATCATTCGTTATATTGGGGTACCAGTGTATAAAACATTCAGTACAGAMATACTTTTATATAGATATGAAAGTGAATAGATAAAATTATACACATATATACACTTAGTTAAGCCAATTTGTTGCGTTGATTTTACCAAAGGCTGTACAGACACTTTCTCGTTTAGGATCTGCTTTTAGTATACTCATAAACATGGGAACTCTGTATTTCATACGAAACACCCGGCATGTATTTATTTCCATTTATGCATGTGTTGTTGTACAATTTCACTGAGCAATCGGTCACTCATTTGCATTTTATATTTTTACACATTTTGCATTTGCATATTTTTGGGCTTTTAATCCTYACAAGGTTTTTAGAAAGGCTATTGATTTTAGCATTACAGTGTGGCAAAGTTCAATGTTGTCTATAAGCCTATGCAATTGCCTTCTGCAGCGGTTRTTTGCAATGAAATTTTCAAATATTTCTTTTAAGTGTTTTAATTTAAACGAATAATCRCATTTGAAAGCAGTTAGCATAGAAAATTTAATTAATTTAATTCGATATTTCGTAGTTGTCAGTAAATACCGATGCATRTAGGTGTGTGTGCAAGTTTTAATTTTACAAATGGTAAATCCATTTTCTAAATTGAGAGAATTTTCTGAATATAAGGCAATAATACATTACCATTGAAATGCTGTTCGAGCGTTTCAGTATTGAACGCCGTTGGGTTGGAGAGGTAAATAAAGTTTTAATACATAGAAAAAGCTGTTATTGACTTGRAAAAATAAACCCCTTCGCAAAATGTAGTCGCTTTTTTACTTCTTCTTCCTCCTTCGGATTCCGTTTAAACAGCAAACAGCTTTTTCAAATACAAAATTTCTGGAAGGTTATGACCCAAGCGCTTTTTATTCCATATTAGGCGTTYTGGAGCACCGAGTGAGACTCATCAAAACTGACGTGGGAAGCAAATCGGTCGATTTTCACGTTCTTCTCTTGAAGCAAATTCGCAACAAGTAACTATACAACTAAGTTCCTGGTGGTGCAGCAATTTCACGTTCGATATTTATACGAAGTTCATCAATCGTCGTTGGTTTGTTGCCATAGACCATAGACTTGACGTAGCCCCACAGGAAATAGTCTAACGGTGTCAAATCGCACGACCCTGGCAGCCAATTGACTGTAAAATTTGTTGAGACAACACGTTCACCAAACTTGGTTTTCAATAAATCGATTGTGACATTCGCTCTGTGGCGTATGGTGAATTCGCATTGAAACCACATACAGTGTAATCCGGTTATAATGGACTCCACGGGACCATGTCAAAT